GAACTTTAATGAAGCTTCAACATTACGGGGCTGGTTAAAAGGAAAATGGTGATAAATTTTCCTATTAAGTAATGACTGATGAAATACCTTTGCATCAAACTGCATCTCTCCATTACTATCTGCAACAAGACATGCACCATGTGTCTTCAACCATTCTACACATTCCTCTAATCCATCTGAATCCTTCTCATCACTTTCTTCACCTGAAGGCACACTACTAGCAAACCCCAGAACCTGAGAAATGTATGAAACAGATACTGTAGGGCGATATGACCGAGACATGCAGCTCACTGCCTTATAACGCATCTTCTCAACAAATAGATCTGCACAAACAACCAAGAGGGAAATAAGAGGGAATGGGAAAAAAAAAATGGAAAGAACCTTTTGTCCATTCTAATGTACATAGCTGACTCCGGCCAGGAGAACAATGTACATTGTTGTCACTACCTATAAATGTTGCAATAATCATTGACCACACTTACCCATAAGGCAGGTGTTCAAGTTAGGTGCTCTCTTGTATAGTCTGAAGAACAAAACATAATTTCCTGAAGACACAGCAGCACGAACTGCAAGCGCATGTTGAACTGCTTTATCCTTCTTTGCTTCCTCAGATAATCTGAAAATGCCATGAAATAGGCCAGTTTGAATAGTAATTCTAAATCACTTCAAGGGGCCACCAGTATATGGAAAAAAGAAAGAACACTTTCCAAATAACCCAAGCTTGTATCACACAAAATGAATGATACAGGGGAACATAAATTCCATCAATATCAGAAAAGGATAATAAGAAACTGTGAATACATATTTATCGACAATCCAAGCCACCATGCCTTCTAGGCATCATACTAACAATGTCACAACATGCAAGCCAAAGAAGGTAACATAAGCATTACAAACCTTGCCATTGATGATAGGAGCTCTCTCTTGTTATTGGAGTGCAGAATAACACAAAGTAAGTTGTAAGCAGAAAATTCCATATGGCATCCCTCAATTCCTTCAGCATAAAGGATTTTCAACTGTGATTGGCACTGAATCCAAAAAAAAAAAAAAGGCTCAGATGAATACAAAAGGCCATATCCAAACAATAGTTTATGAAAGCTTAATGAGAAGAAAACCATGCCAAATGAAAACTAATTCTAGTCCAAGAAAGAATACTGTGGTGTTGCATAGAACTACAAAAATGAAAGAAGCCAAGCCAATTAATTACAAATAATTTTTCTCAACAATACAGACCTGATTATATTCAGGCAGGTCCCCATTTTCCAGTGCCAATCTAGCATGAGTTTCATAAACCTGGACAAGTATAACAAAAGAATAAATTAAGCATGGTATACCTATATATCCCTGGTTCCCTCACTGTCCTTTTTATCTGGTGATTTGTCCAGCA